CCTATAATTTAACCATATACAAAGTTTTATGCACACAGATCATAAGGTTAATATGTAAAATCTTTAACCCCTTATATTCCTTCAACATGTCACAATAATGATCTGGAAAAAGGGGTAAACAGTGAGGTGGCAAAATTTGCAAATGATACAAAACTACTCAAGATAGTTAAGTCCCAGGCAGTCTACAAAAGGATCTCTCAAAACTGGGTGACTAGGCAACAAAATGGCAGATGAAATTTAATGCTGATAAATGCAAAGTAATGCACATTGGAAAACATAATCCCAACTATACATATAAAATGATGGGATCTAAATTAGCTGTTACCATTCAAGAAAGAGATCTTGGAGTCATTGTGGACAGTTCTCTGAAAACATCCACTCAATGTGCAGCGGCAGTCAAAAAAAGCAAACAGAATGTTGGGAATAATTAAGAAAGGGATAGATAGTAAGACAGAAAATATCATATTGCCTCTATATAAATTCATGATACGCCCACATCTTGAATACTGCGTACAGATGTGGTAACCCCATCTCAAAAGAGATATATTGCAATTGGAAACGGTTCAGAAAAGAGCAACAAAAATTCTTAGAAATATGGAGCGCCTGCCATATGAGGAGAGATTAATAAGACTGGGACTTTTCAGCTTAGAAAAAAAGACAACTAAGGGGGGATATGAGAGAGGTCTATAAAATCATGGCTGGTGTGGAGAAAGTAATGTTATTTACTCCTTCTCATAACACAAGAAGTAGGGATCACCAAATGAAATTAATAGGCAGCAGGTTTAAAACAAACGAAAGGAAGTATTTTTTCCACACAGTGCACAGTAGAACTCCTTGCCAGAGGATGTTCTGAAGCCCAAGATCACAAATGGTTTCAAAAAAGAACAAGATAAATTCATGGAGGATAGGTCAATCAATGGCTACCACCAGGATGGGCAGGGATGGTGTCCCTAGCCTCTGTTTGCTAGAAGGTGGGAAGGGGTGACAAGGGATGGATCACTTGATGGTTACCTGTTCTGTTCATTCCCTCTGGGGCACCTGGCATTGGCCACTGTCAGAAGACAGGATACTGGGCTAGATGGACCTTTGGTCTGACACGGTATGACCGTTTTTATGTTCTTAACATGCTTTACATACTACAGTATACAGTGATATACACAAAAAAACTGAAAGGTTGATTGAAGTCAGTACAGTGAATTTTTACATGTCAATATTGCTGTTTACCAAGATGTACAAGGTGTAATATGGGTAAGGCAAAGTTTCCTGAACTAGTAGTTTTCACACTACTTATATTTAGTTTTCTTTAAGTGTGATGTTCTTGTGTTACACTTTGTAAAAAGTTAATATTATTCACTGGAGAAAACATATTTCAGTTAACAATGTTTGTTTTGCAGGGTAAAACTAAATAAATACACAGACGTTTTAAAACATTTTAAATCTAAATTTGAAGCATGGTATCTGAAAGAGTTTTCATTCATTCTCTTGACTTTACTTCCACCAAACAGAAAACAGAAAATGAAGGGCATGATCTTGTGGTATGCGAATGGCAACAAAAAGCAAAAGGTGAGGGGAAACAAAAGACTATGCTAAGAGAGGGAAAGGCAAATTTTAATAACAAAAAAACCAAGAAAAACTAAAAAGAAACAGCAGAAAGAAATTGTTGTTTACTCTTCTTCCAGCCAGAAGCAAAGGGAAGGGATGAAAAAATAAAGAGTGGGAAAACTCTCCTGTGATCAGCCTGAAGAGGAGTGAAGAGATGAGAGTCAAGTTCAACAGACATCTAGGAGCCAAAACAAGAGAGGGAGTCCCCACCTCTGAAGGATCCATAGTCAGCACTCGGGTAGTTGGGATATCTCCCTTCCCCATCAATTAGCGATGAAGAAAGAGGATGTTTTCACCTTCATTGGAGTTATCCTGGGACTTCAGTGTGCCCTCCCACCCACCATCTTCCATCCCTTTTCTCCCCAATATCAGTCTCTGGCTGGTAAGTGTGCAATAAATGTTAACCACCAACTATGAAGGACACTCAAAGTTGGTTTTGTTTTATTTTTTATTAAAAATAACACTCCTAAAGAGTCTAAGAAATATTACCAAAGCAGGTACAATATGAAAGTTGTTAGAGCCACAGAATTTAAAAGCACAAGTTTCATAATCTCTTAATACAGCAGGCTAATGTAAAGCAATATTATCAGGTTGTTAGGCCAAGAGTGTGACCTATTAATTATTTTACAGCAATCAAGTGTATTAGGTACCTTAGAATAAAGAAAAAGAGACAGAGCTGCTGCCCTAAAGAGTTTAAATCTAGTTTCAGACTAAGCAGGACTTTGTAGACTATATATAAAATTGAACTTTGTCAAAATTATAACTGAAGCCATTATCCCACACACGTCGTTTCCCCCCGCCCCCTCCCCCCGCAAAAAAACCCCTGCTGCCTGTAAATGAACTGGCTTTTTCTGACATATCATAAAACATTTTACATATGAACATTGGGTATGTGTGGTTGGAAGGTTATAAGAGAGACAGTATTTACTCGTACATAAGAGGAAAAAAATCAAAAGTCCCAGAAAATTTAATTAGAAGTAACTTCATACTCTCTGCCGAAACCTCAAAAGAACACTTTTTTTAAATTAGTCAATTCAAATGAGTTAGTAATTCTTTTAATAAATAGTTCTAAAAAAATCTCGATAAAAAAAATCAAGGCTTTTTCTTCTACTCTACTCATGTTTATAAGGCTCTTTTCATCTAATCACTTTCTTCCAATGGACTACTTGGAGAAACAGTGAAACAAACACACTGTATGCAGAACTTTTGTCAGTTTTTCAGTTACAATAATCTTTAGTGTTATTTGTACCATATGAGGTACCAAGCTTTCCACACAGAAATGTGATTTTGAAGTTAACTGTGTCCGTTTAAGACTGGACGTTTAAATACAAAAAGATTTTTTGTTGTTGTATGGAGATGGATTAGCCATAAATTCCATCACTCCTCTCTCTGAGTTTGTAGTTTTATTCTAGACAAGTAAGCATTACTTTTTGTGTTTTAATGCAGTTTATCTAAAAGTACTAAAATATATACAGACCTATTAGTTTGGTCAAACAAAAATCTGGTCAAACAAACTGAATATTTTATATACGTACATAAGTGGGCCTATGACTATGTTTTGCACATTTATTTTTCTGAAAAAAATTGCCCACAAACTGCATATTTACAAATAAAAGGCTAAATACTAAAACTCTAAAGAGAGAATTCTCCTCAAAATACATTTATGAGCCTTATTATGTGTTTGAGAACATAATTTACTATATTTTTGTTACAGGAAGATAACATTGATAAAGGTAGACCACATATGAATTGAACACATTGACCCATTACTGTAAAGTTCAGGGGCAGGAAGCTTCCTTCAACAAAAACAGCAACATTTCACATTTTAGATAGATGTCTGCATGAACAGGACATTTAATGTTGTCCATTACAGTTCTGCACACTGAAAACAAAACCAGAACCAATTACAGAGGAGAGGAAAGCTATCATTTTATAAAAAAAAATTTAAAGTATGTAGACACTGCTTATTTTAAAAAAAAATCAATTATATTTAATGGGGGAGAGGGGAGAGATGGGTTGTTTACAAACAAAGCAAGACAGGTTTAGACTTTTCAATAGCTGCACAAAGTTTTAAGAAACCTAGTTACTGAAAAAATAACATGGTAATTGTACGTTTCAAAAGCCCTGATATGGATGCATCTCTCTAACTAGCGATAAGTACCATCTGCCCCTAAAAAGAGACAGATGACACTAAACTGCATCAAAATGAGAATCTCCAGACAGTGACGAGCTCCCAGGAGCTGCTCAATGCCAGCGTTAAAGAGAAGGAACAAAAGAATTTTAAGGAGTAAACATATAGGTTCCTTGAGAAAGGCAAGAGAGAGGGATTTTTATCTTGGAAGGAAGTGGGTTATGTTTTCAGGCCATGGACTGGGGAGATGCAGAAAGTGAGATCTAGGGTAGGCAACGTTATAAAGGGGAATGAGAGGTTATTCCAGGAGAGAGACAGATGTGGGGGAAGAAAGAACATCTGGCAGAAGAAGAGGAGACAGGTAGCTATTTCTGAAACGACAGCATGATTATCCCGGCAGCGGAGCGGAGGGCTCCCCGGGGAAGGGAGCCAGGGACACCGGAGGGAGAGCGCTCTAGCAGGGGATGACAGCTGCAGAGAAGTGACTCCCCCGCTCAGGGGATGCACACCGCAGCAGGGAAGGGGGGGAGACCGCTACCCGGCTCGGGGGGGGTGGGGTGGGGGAGGTCGCTCTGAAGGGGTTAGAAGACGCCAACGCACCGGGGCAGGTTGGGGGCGGGGCTGCCTGTCACTAGTCACCGGAGCAGGGCGGAGGCCGGTGTGGGGACGCTGGGGCGCCGGACATGCGGGCGGGTCAGCGCTCTCTGGGTACCGGGCGCCCTGGGCCCGGCGGCTGCGGCTCTGCCCCGCAGCGCACGAAAAAGGCGGCGGGGGCCCGGCCCCGCGGATGACAGGGACGCCGCGCGGGAGCAGGGCCTCGCCTCTCACCTCCAGGGTGGACACAGTGCTGGTGAACAAATCCTCGCCGTCCTCCAGCTCCTCGAGCTCGGGCTGCCTGGCGTCCCCGAGCGGCGGGGGCTCCCTCTCCGCCGCCATCTTCCCTTCCGAACTGGGGCGCGAGCTCCGGGTCCCCTCGGTCACGTGACGAAGGGGCCCCGCCCCGTTTAACACGTGACTAGGGCGCGCACCGCCTCCCCTATCTCCGGGTGGGAGCGCGCGAGTTGAGCCGCGGCCGTTCTGGAGCTCTGGCCACTGCGTGCTCAGAGAGGCGGGGTAGCGGTAGGCCCCGCCCCTCCCTGCGGCCGGTCCAAGTGTCGGTGGCTGTGGGGAGAATGGCCTCCTCTCACCTCCGCCTGTCGTCTCAGCCCCGGCCACCCCGCGCCGGCCGGCCGGGCCCCAGGTCCCCGGAGGCGGGACGGGCTCGAGGCGAGGGCGGGCTTAGCTGCGTCCACTCCTGGGCCGGCTCGTGGCGCAGGGCAGGGACTCGGAGTGGCGCTGTGCGGCGGCGGGGCTGCTGCTTTCCTCGGCCCTGCCGTGCGCGAGGCCCCCGGCTCACGCCCCCGCCCTCCCTGTGCTGGCCATGGAAGTCCGCCACTGGCCGGCAGCTCTTCCGCTGTCCGAAGTCACGTGCTGTCCTTGCTCTGAGGGTTGGTTTATCATTGTGCGCCGCGGATGTGGCCCACAAAGTGTTAGCTGGGCCGTAGGCTGAGAACCACAGTATCTCCCACCCGCCCACATACACACACACGCACCCACCCCGATGCCCAGCGCCCTCCACAGAGCGGAACCAGAAGCCAGGGATGGGGGTGGCGGTCAGGGCCCTCGACTCCGGATCCCCTGTGCAGTGCCTAGGGACAATTCTGATTTGGGGGGCTTTTTCTTATATAGGTACCTATTACCCCCACCCACCTACTGTCCTGATTTTTCACACTTGCTATTTGGTCATCGGAGCAGTGCTGGGCAGGAAGCGAGGACCCAGACCCCACTGCAACCCCAGACCCTGCTCTGTGGGGCCTGGCAACAGCTGGGACCCGGAGCCTGAGGCAGCTGGGCAGCAGCCTGTGTAGTGGCACAAACTGCTCCCTGGCAGAATTTCCTATGTAGGTTGTAGAGCATGCCACTACGCTGGCAGCCTGGACCCCGAGCCTGCTCAGCAGACTGGACCCATGAGTCCACCCTGCGGGGCTAGGCAGCAGCCAGCTGCCTGGAGCCTGCTGTGGGGAACCAGGTGGTAGTCTGCCACCCAGACCCGGAGCCTGCCAGCTGCCTAGACCCCAGAGCTTGCTGTGCGGAGCCAGCAGCAACCCAGGCCCTGGGGCCTGAGCTCGGCCATAGCCGTGTGCTAATTGGGCTGCATGCGGGCTGAGGGTTGAGAACCGCTGCTCTGAGATTAGGCCCATGTTAGCTCTGTGGGAGGACCCTTTTAGTAATGATCTAGTAGGTTTCAAAAGGCACAAGGAGCCCCCAATCATGCATAGTTTCATATTTTTAAATCTCATGATTTAAGCAAATCTTAATTGTTTTGGTTCTTCTTCCCTGCACTGGCAGAGTCTGTGTAGTGTTTAGCGGGCTCTCATTAGGACCATTAAAACCCTCTAAATAGTATCTGCATTTCAGAATTTTTCAGGGGAGGAGAAGGAGCCCAAGACCACTCTTCTCCCCTCATTTTATATCAACGTTTGGATTAAGTTTCTTTCTGACAGTTAATTAACTTTATGTACTGCTAACTCTGTTTGTGATATGGAGGGGAGAATCATTAATTAAGGTGTTTTTGGCCTGAAGAAAAATGTAAGTGATAAATGATTTTTGAGTTTTGCTCTTGGAAGATATGAAACTACTACGTGAATTGTTGCCACAGCGAATGAAAAAATTTTAAGGACAGGCGATCATTATGTATAAACATAGCTAGCCATTTTCACACAGATTCAAAGAAATTTCAAACGATAAGTTAAGATGCTGTTAGTTCAGCAATTGCAGGGACACAAACCCTCAGCAATAGTACAAACCGACACACACAATGCTGAGTATTAAAGCCTATTTTATAAGCGGAGAGCTACAAGTATTAGGTCCTGATCTTGGGAAGATGCAGTTATATAACTAGCATTTAGGTACATTAGTAGTCCCATTGACTTCAGTGGCATATTCATGTGAGTAAGTGTTTGAAAGACCTAGCCTTATGTTATTACTTCTAAATGGCTCTTATTCTTGTATTCACTGTGACTTGGTTCATAAATTCTGATCTTGTTCCAAAATCTTAAGGTATATTATAATGCTCATTTTAAAATACTTCATGTCAAGTGTCAATGGTGTTAGCAGCAGGGTCTAGCTATGGGGCATTAGCGAATACAGTCAAATCAAGTTTAGTGTATAAATCATTTATGATTTATCAGCACAGAAGTATTTTTCAGTTTATTTTTTCCTTTATAGAAAGCAGCTTTTGAAAAAAGTTGTTTTTTAAGCATGCTATTCCTTTACTAGAAAAGGTGGGCAAACTACGGCTCACGGGACCGTCCTGCCCGGCCCTTGAGCTCCCGGCCAGGGAAGCTAGTCCTTTCCACCCCCCGCTATCCCCTCTTCCCCACAGCCTCAGCTTGCTGCGCCGGCTGCGCTCTGGCCCGCCGCTCCTGCCAGGCAGTGGAGTGGTGTGGCTGGCTTCGGCCGTGCGGCGGGGCTGTGAGCTCCTGCTGCTCTAAGCGGCATGGTAAGGGAGCAGGCGGTGGGAGGGTGGTTGGATAGGGGGAGGGAAGTCCTGGGAGGAGGCAGTTAGGGGACAAGGAGCAGAGGGGATGGACGGGTCAGAGGTTCTGAGGGGGGCAGTCAGGGGGCGGGAAGGGGTGGATAGGGGGTGGGACCAGGCTGTTTGGGGAGGCGCAGTCTTCCCGACCCGGCTCTTCATACAGTTTCGCAACCCCGATGTGGCCCTCGGGCCAAAAAGTTTGCCCCTGTAGCAAAAAACAGAAAGATTCATCAGTTATTTGAGTTGTTTATTAATTTGATCATGGTAAAACATTTGTTAGCTCAGCATGCCTCTGTTCTGTGAGGACTGTTAATCTTTGAAGTGTTTGAGTTTATTTCTACACTGTGTCCACTGCAGACTAAACGAATACTGTAACATATTCTAAGCTCTTTGGGGCTCGTTAGAACTTCTGACTCAAACTGACTTCAATAATCATTGGAGCAGGGATGATGAATACCCTAACTACTGGGCTACTGGCTGGGTGGACAGACACCCCCATCACCACCACCCAGACCCAAAACCAAACAAACTGGCTGTCTTTTATGCAGGTTAAGTGTGCTCAGAACACACCTAGTGGATCTGGTCCTGCAGGTGAGGGAATGCTGAATTTGAGAATGTGTGAGCTAAGGTGCTGAGCAGCTCAGTGGAATCAGGACTTAGATGGTCTTGTGCATGCTCACCAGTGGAAACGTAGGCATCTACAGGGCTAGGGGACAGTTGAGCAGGGGGGTTTGCAGATTTCAGTGAAGATTTCAAATGTTGGGTTAGGCACCCAAGTCCCTTTTTGGATCTAGCTTAATGTGCCTTCTCTTTGTTGCTCTCAAATGTGGAAATGAAAACAAAGGAAAGAATGAAATCATACATATTTTTCTTTCAGGCTTTGCTCCCCTCACCCCCCCCCCCCCCCCCCCCAGCATTGCCACATCACCAGAAAAGACAAAGAAGTGGTCTACAAACCATGGAATTGTCATGTATGACTAACATATATGACTGTCTGGACAAGGCTATGTTCAGAAACAGTTGCAGGAAGTGCTTAACAAAGAGCTCCCTCAGGAAAGGTGTTGACACTTCTCAGGTTCTGAATGAGTGTCCTCCACTCCTGCTCACTTCAGAGCAAGTTATAGGTTTTCAGTTCTTAGCAGAAAGTGCTCATCCCCTCTCTGGATTGAAATCTTACAGATCTGTCTCCCAAAACAAAAAAACAAACAAAAAAAATCTTTAAATTCTGGAACAATTTTTAAAATTGTGGAACTTCAATTAACAACTTTAGATATTTGCTATTGATATGAAGGAGTCTTGTAATGCTGTAGGTTCTAAAAACTTTTTTGTTTTAAAGAAAAATATTTTACTTCAGTGTAAGGGTTTAAACAAACTCATGCTTATTAAAATAAACTTAAAATGGACTTCAGAAGATACTGAACTAAAGAAACAAAATAAAGATGGTCCGTTTCACTGGCACTGGAAAGTACATTTTTTCAAAACACAGCTATTTTTCACCTGCCTGCACCAGATAAGACTAGTAGTGAATCCAGCCTACACTGCTAGTAATAGACGTGAAATGAAAACCACTTATAAGGCTTCAATAAGTCTTAACTTACTGGTGTCATAGATGCTAAGTAAGTCTTGGTAACTTGCAATGTGTATACTGGGTTTTATTGTGGGAAGAGAAACCAGGTAAATTGTTTCCCTAAACTCAATGCTCAAAATATTCAAATACAGTCAGAAAGGATATTTCTCCCACCTCTAAATATTTTTATGTGGTTTGTATATCATTGTGGGACCCAGCGGATTTTAGCTAGGTTAGTTATTTCTAGATCTTTGTAGGCTTCCTGTTCCACTATTCCACTTCTGCAAATTTCTCAAATACATAACTGGGAATGTACAGTGTTAGTTTATTTGGAAATTATTTTTCTACTAAAAAGGGCATATTTTGTACTCTGGCCTTACATCATAAAAATGTCAGCTTTATCTTTGTTCTTTTTTATTAGGAAGATTATATATTTATTATTCTCTCTAAAAGGTTGGGAAGTATATCAACATACTATAGTGCTTAGGTACAATTATCTTATGGCTTTCCACTGGTTTTAAGGAATTAATGAGACAGTTTAACTATTTCTAGGACTTCATTTAGATTCAAACCAACATGGTTAGTGTTAATGTGGCTAGACTATTAATCTATGTCTCAGATACTTTGGAGTACCTATTACACCATTTAATAAAGTATTCCACAGAAACAAATCAGAACAAAGTCAAAGAACAGACATAAGGTGTTATGGTCACTCCTAACAACAGTATTCACAGTTTTAAACTTGTTCTTTGACTACAGAATAAAATGTTAATTATAACATGTTTTTACTTAATCTGGCAAATCCTTCAGAAATGTGTGGCCATATCTGGTGTCACAGAATATAACAGCAAGACCCTCACTTACTTTTGGTTGGACAAAGGAATATATGCCATATCTGAACCTATATGTAAAGTCTAATTGATTGCTCTATCTTAGTCAACCTGTACATTCCATGATTTCACTGTATGTTTGTTTCAACATGTAACAGAGTGGATAAACGTCAGTGATACCCATTTTTTTATTTAAAAAATGGATTTTTTTACATTTACATTTGATTTCTTTGATGTAGATTAATGCATTTTTCTTTTAAAAAAACAAACCTTTTAAAAATTAAGTTTAAAATTATGAGAACCTATATTAAATCTTAAACTCACTAGAAACTACTAAAATAAATTAAAAATAACATTCAAACAGTATATGTTGGCTGCCAAAGTTTTAAAGAAAGTCAGACCTCTTAACTGGTGGAAGTTGCTTAGCTAAGCACCTAGAATTGGTGATTTAAAATCACTCACCGCTGAGATATACTGAGCCCAGTTCTCTCCTAAGAGATATCTGTGGAACTCTCATGCATGCATGTCTGAAGGCTTAGAACATCTACAGTCATTTTAGTTTATGTACATTGGTATAATGGAATTCCCAGCATTTTTTCTCCTTTCTCATCTGTCATCTCAATTCTTGTCAATAGCCAACTATTTTTCAAATCAGTATTTAAAAAGAACAATGTCAGCTTTTAAAAAAAAATCCAGTAAGGATAGCATAATAGAAAGGGACCTACAGAGGCTGGATATAACAAAATGAGACTCATCTTGGGAAAATGCAGATTAGTAGATCTTGTTGGGGAAATAACCCAAAACACAGATAGGCAAATGAGAGAGAAAGAAACTGGGAAACCAATAATGCTGAAAAAGAACTCAAGGTGATAGTGAAAACCCAACTGTATACAAGCTTGCAATGTGTAATTGAAAACAAACAAACAAAAAATACCAAATACCAAAACAATGAGGCAATGTGATTTTTTTCATATCACAGAGCAAGAAGGTATTAGTTCCTCTATGTACTGTATTCGGTATTACCCACAAAAAAGAACTTTAATGTTGCAAAGTCAAGTACCGCTGCAACCTTAATTTGGCCAGTTTGTACATATGCATTATGATACATTCTATAATTACATAATCACACCGTTTTTTCCACTGGACCTTGAGTCATTCAGTGCATACAATGCATGTTGCTCACTTAATGATCAGCTATTATATATTTTGTTTTCTCCTTGGTCTGTGTGTAGCTCCATGCCTTATTTATTGCATGTTGTTCAACCTCTGCTCCGAATACAGAATTACCAATTTCCTTAGGGACTTGCCTGTGATGCTTATCACTATAGCATCTGAGTGCTTCACAAACATTAATGAATGTTTCCACAATGCCCTTGTGAGATGGGGTGGTACTGTACCATTTTAGAGATGGGGAGCTAAAGCACACAGAGATAAACGTCCAAAGTATTCACTAATTTTAGGTGCCTGGTCTGAAATGCCTAGGACCTGATTTTTCAGAATATGTAATGTTTAAAGTAGTCTTCTTGCCCACTCCACCTCTGTATCTATCCCACCAGCTCCCTGTGTCTCCCCCAACACCCAGGATCCTTGTCCCAATCTACTCCTTCCACATTTCCCTTCTCCCCTCCAGGGTAGGCACCCCTGTGTATTTCAGTCAGTCAGCTTCATCCTCCACAATGCCTGTTACGGTCTCCCTGCTTTGTGTTTTCATGTCTGGCACCACATTGGCCTGTGGAAGCTGGGAGGAACCATTGTAGGAAAAATCCTGCTTAGTCCCTGCATGCCTGGGCCTGGAGCATGCTCAGTTCTTTGTGAATGGTGCACACCCAATCCAGTCACACAGATAATTTGTCATCTCCTCAGAGCTCCTATGCAGATGGAATCTGGAGAATTTGGTTGCCAAACTCTAAGACGCCTCTACAGATCACGTGCAAACTGAGATTTTTCAAAGGCTTATAACTTGGGCAAAATTAGGTAGTTTTCCATAGCAACAGCAAAAGGCTCAGCCTTGACACCAGGGTGATGCCCCTGCCGAATTTCAGGTTCCTGCTCCAAAGCATGGAGGCACTGGAGTTTCTCAATACAATGGTTGTAAGCAGGCCTGCCGACAAAGGGTGTTGTCCTCGAAGTGTTCTAACAACAGTTAAAACTAATAAATCAGAGATTGGTGTTTGGACTCAGACGCAGTATCTATCACCTGTTAAAAATCCTCACTGCCCACCTGCCTCCCCAGATTGAAGGTAAAAAAAGATTTTATTTAGGGAAACAAACACAACTGGGAACCCAAGGGATAAACAGAGAACAGTAAAATGACTCAGTGGCTTTGAACCAGTTGGGTTTGAAGCCTGGCTCCTGTACAACCCTGAATAAGCTATGGATATCTGTACTAAAGTCCATTTTATACTTGCAGAGTGATGTCATGATTGGACAGCAGACAGCTGGTCTCAACCCAGGTTATTGCAGTGGCCATTAGGTTCTGGACCTTCCACTGCTGAAGATGGTGTCTAGCAGGAGGAACATGGAACTTGAAGGAGCAGGTGGAACAGCCCAGGACACTCCTCGATGATCTGCAGGTGAGTATCGATGACAGATGGTGACTCTCGGAGTGCCTGCATATAACCGGCTTACAGGCTGCCTCTGTGGCGTACAGCATTCAGTGCTGGACGCGGCGGCCTTATTTAAACTCTAGTGCGTGAAAGCCCGAGTATGCAAGAGCCTTCTGGCATTTTCCCTGCCATTATGGAAAAAGGGCACCAAAGTTCGATAAAGAAGGGCTTACAATATGGAGTCCAAACAGCCGTTTAGCTATATTCAAAATGGCAAAGCCAACAAAATGGCATCCATTGCCCTAAGTCTACATAAGCATCATATAAACTATATAAACAGTACAACATTAACATCACATAATACAGAAACTTAGAGAACATCACAGAAACCTAATATAAAGTTCTACAAGGGGGCAATTGCCCAAGGGCCCAGACAATTTAAAAGGGTCTGGGGGCTCACGGCAGTGCAATGGGGCTAGGGCAGGCTTCCTGCCCGCCCTCGCTCCACGCCACACCCAGAAGCAGCCAACATGTCCCTGCCGCCCCTGGGGAGGGGGTCTCCATGGGCTGTCCCCACCCTGAGCGCCAACTCTGCAGCTTCCATTGGCCAGGAAATGTGGACAATGGAAGCTATGGGGGCGGTGGTTTCGGGCAGCAGCGCACAGAGACCCCCGAGGCCCCCTGCCTAGGATCCGCTGAAAGAGGGGTGTGCCGGTTGCTTTGGGAGCCGCCCAAGGTAAACGCCGAGCCCCTGACTCCCTCTTGAACCCCAACCCACTGCCCCAGCCCAGAGCCTGCCCCCAAACTGCCTCCCAGATCCTGCACCCCACACCCCCTCTTGCACCCAAACTCCCTCCCAAAGCTCGCACCCCACACTCCCTCCCTCTCCCAAACTCTGTGTCCCAGCCTGGTGAAAGTGAGGGAGGGTGAGGGGATGGAATGGGCAGGGGCAGTGCTTCGGAGAAGGGGTGGGACAGGGCGTGGCCTCAGGGAGTGGGCAGGGCAAGGGAAGGGTCTTTGGGATTACAAGATTAGACAGTTGGCAACCCTACCGGGCGGGCATGTGGAAGCCCTGGCCATGCCAGAAGAGCGCACCCAGCAGCGCAGCCGGCAGTTCACTGGGCACCAGCCAGTGCAGGCACAGCACCACCCAAATGTCAGGCAGACCACGTCTGCGCAGGTGCAGCTTGTGCGTGCGTGAGGGCCCATTGACTATTTTTGGGCCCGGAATTGCTGTCGGCAGGCCTAGTTTTAATAGGGTTTTTTGGACAAGGGCAAAACACTGTTTTTTCCCTAATCTTTCTCAGAAACCCGTGAATCATTTTTGCAGAACCTTTCCAAAATAATTCAGCCTGAGGCACGCTAAAGTTTGCCAAAAAGATGTAAACAACAAGATCTTATAATAGAAAGTGTTGGACAACCTTAATTCCTTATAGGTGGCACCACCAGCAACACCTATAATATTACACATCCCTGCTAGCTGCTTGCCATGCCTCTCTGCCAGCCACCATAGTGGTCGCTTGCCATGCCTCTCCACCAGCTGCCTGCTCAACAAGATGTCTTCAGGGCCCTGCCCCACTTAATACAGCTCTCACTGATTTCAGCTGTTAGTGGGGGAGCCTCATTGCTGGTGCACACTGGGCAGCCTCTTGCAATAGAGACACTGCCCTAAAGTAGGTCTAGTACTTAGACCCAGGTCTCAGTGATTTCAGCTCTACAGCATGTAACAAGACTCACAATTGAGTCCAAATTGGCTCTTATCATACCATAGACAGAGGAAGGGTCAAACGATGTCTACAACCCTTAAACAGGACCTACACCAGCAAGTGCAGGTACCTATCCTCACCCTTTCTCCTCACTGGGCTTTGGAACCCATGTCCCCTGCCCAGCGAGTGCTGTCCAGTTGAGGGTGAGTCCCTCTATTGGGGTGTGCTAGGTACAGTTCTGCTGCCCTTGGTTCATACAACAAGGATAACAACCCTTTATTACTCCTGCCCCAAGAGCAAGGAAACTGGGTCATAGAATCATAGAATATAAGGGTTGGAAGGGACCCCAGAAGGTCATCTAGTCCAACCCCCTGCTCGAAGCAGGACCAATTCCCAGTTAAATCATCCCAGCCAGGGCTTTGTCAAGCCTGACCTTAAAAACCTCTAAGGAAGGAGATTCTACCACCTCCCTAGGTAACGCATTCCAGTGTTTCACCACCCTCTTAGTGAAAAAGTTTTTCCTAATATCCAATCTAAACCTCCCCCACTGCAGCTTGAGACCATTACTCCTCGTTCTGTCATCTGATACCATTGAGAACAGTCTAGAGCCATCCTCTTTGGAACGCCCTTTCAGGTAGTTGAAAGCAGCTATCAAATCCCCCCTCATTCTTCTCTTCTGCAGGCTAACCAATCCCAGCTCCCTCAGCCTCTCCTCATAACTCATGTGTTCCAGACCCCTAATCATTTTTGTTGCCCTTCGCTGGACTCTCTCCAATTTATCCACATCCTTCTTGAAGTGTGGGGCCCAAAACTGGACACAGTACTCCAGATGAGGCCTCACCAATGTCGAATAGAGGGGAACGATCACGTCCCTCGATCTGCTCGCTATGCCCCTACTTATACATCCCAAAATGCCATTGGCCTTCTTGGCAACAAGGGCACACTGCTGACTCATATCCAGCTTCTCGTCCACTGTCACCCCTAGGTCCTTTTCCGCAGAACTGCTGCCTAGCCATTCGGTCCCTAGTCTGTAGCTGTGCATTGGGTTCTTCCGTCCTAAGTGCAGGACCCTGCACTTATCCTTATTGAACCTCATCAGATTTCTTTTGGCCCAATCCTCCAATTTGTCTAGGTCCTTCTGTATCCTATCCCTCCCCTCCAGCGTATCTACCACTCCTCCCAGTTTAGTATCATCCGCAAATTTGCTGAGAGTGCAATCCACACCATCCGCCAGATCATTTATGAAGATATTGAACAAAACCGGCCCCAGGACCGACTCTTGGGGCACTCCACTTGATACCGGCTGCCAACTAGACATGGAGCCATTGATAACTACCCGTTGAGCCCGACAATCTAGCCAGCTTTCTACCCACCTTGTAGTGCATTCATCCAGCCCATACTTCCTTAACTTGCTGACAAGAATACTGTGGGAGACCGTGTCAAAAGCTTTGCTAAAGTCAAGAAACAATACATCCACTGCTTTCCCTTCATCCACAGAACCAGTAATCTCATCATAGAAGGCGATTAGATTAGTCAGGCATGACCTTTGGCTGGTATCCAACACCAGCCAAAAGTGATCATTTGGGCAAGCAGTCCCATCATGCTGAGCACCTAGGCAGTGTGGGCGTATCCATGCAAACAAGATCAGCTCCTGAAGTCTTTTTCCACAGCTCACCACTAGATGTCGGGGAGAGCTCATCCAGACAGGATTGAAAACTTAAATAGATTAGAATCAGTCTGCAGTAGAGTTTGAGCTTGTCAGCACAGCTGAGGAGAGGGCAGTAAAGGTGGCTTCAAGCCACTTTTACAACTCCTAAATTCTGTGGTCAGCAAGGAGCTGAGCTGGGTTCCTGAACCAGTTAAATTGGTTCAGGAAGTTTCTCAATTGAGGCAGGGGCCATTACAGCAGACCTGAAACACCAGAATGCAGCAGTACTCCCAGCAACATCCCGCCACTCCCTGGCCATTTACCCAGTTCCCCACAATACATTCTCCCAGTGACAAGGAATTCCCAGGCTGGGAATCCATAGCTGGCTGATAGAGCTAACTATACAGTCCCTTTGGGCCACTAGAGGAGCACAAAAGGTAAGTAGATGAGGTCTGAATCTGGCCTTATTTGTAGAAGGTGGCTAAGTGACATGTAACAGGGAGGCATAGCCAACCAAACCCCTTTGAAAGATGTAAACACCATTGAGAAATTGAAATATTGCCTTGCGCTAATTCTAAGAGAAATGGGAAGAAATTAAGAAAAGGAAAATTTAGGCTGACTATCAGAAGGAAATTTCCTACCAGTGAAAGAAATGCAAGAAGCCCCAGCCATTCCTCAAACACTTAAAAACAAAAGACTAGAAAAGTTTTAGAGCCTTGATTTTTCTCTCTTAGAATAATCTAAAAAGGAAGAACTGGAGGCAACATGCTAGCTCCTGAGTGGTCAAAATCGACACCCTCTTACACAGTTAAAGACTCCACTATGAGTCAGCCTTCATAGGAAAAATTATAAAATACAAATATTTACACGTCTTTCCAACCCACCTTCCAATCAGCCAACAAGCATTACATCTAATGTTAAGATATAAGTTCCATATAAAAACAGCTGTTACTTTTCCAGAAAACCATTTGAACCTTGAACATTTCACAGCATATTTTACACATCAATATTAATTTTTTCCAGCACGCTTTTTAAAAATTCTTTGATGACAGTGAGTGCACAGTGATTCTAATTTATCTGTGAGATGTTAATATACCCTTTATATGAGAATGTGAGCCATCCCTATTCCATTAGCATATTCACTCATGGAGTCTGGAGTACTTTTAAACAAAGTTGTGTAATATTTTTGCCTCATTCAAATAAAGCAATGGGAATTACCATTCTCCATTTGCATCTAGTGCTGCATACAATACTTTACGATGTACAAATCAGTGTATGCCTTTGCTTCAGTTCCCACAAATTCATTGGTATCATCAGGAGAGGATGCCAGGCTTCACCCTGGTAACAGCATCAGGATGGGGCAGAAAAATGGATGGTATATGCCAATCATAGCTGAGAATAACTGAGCAAGGAGTACGATTAGCACCTCAATTGATAACATGATGGTCCTAAATGTATAATACAACTTTTTTTTCTGGATTAGGTGTATCAATCATACCTTTGTACAGAGGAGGATTGCAAAATTCCCCATACTTTTGTCAGGACACTTGGTGAATCTTACAACAATATACTTTTTCCTGTGTATTTTAAATACTGGGAATGGCTGAATCCTAGTGGACAGCTATTTTTGGACCATTGTAGCTTTTTCTGAGTACACATAAATTGTTAATGATTATATGCATCAGTGCTGATTGTTAAATTGCATGTACATTGTACCACATGAATATTTATGCTCATAATATATTATGAAACAAAATAGTATATCTGGCTACAGTATAACAAATAGGATAAATTAATCAGATAACCTCTGTAAACCTTTTTCTTCTTATGAAATAGCCATGTACAGAATTCAAATTCACCACGTTTTATTGTTTTTGTCTCTATAGCCCAACTGAAAACAATGTTGCAAATATTTGATCTGGGATATTCAAAATTAGAGCTGTGCTGCTTCGTAATGTTCATATAAGTCATGTGGTAGGTTCCCTGACTGGAGGAGTGTATGGGGACTTCTAGCAAGACTAGCAAGATGTGCAAGTTAAAAATGCCATTACCCTGAATATTCTGTAATGAGACACTGAAATCACCTTCCACAAGCATTTGTGATATTATGTAGGTATAGTGCCATTCTTGCTTAGACTGATAAGGCTTTTCTTTTGTTTTCAATAACCTATGTACATGATAGCCCTGTAATATTTACAATAGAAAAAAGTTTTAAAAGAAAACATCAGTCATTCAAATGTTCATGTAAGCATGGCTAAAACAAAATCATTTTCAAATTTGAATGGGTGTTTGTAGATTTATTTATTGCAGTGTTTGCTCAGCTATGCATTTGGTCCTCATCTTAGTTTGGGTAAAATTCACACTTGTGCATAGAGCTAGCCCAAAGTCTATACAATACTAAAGGCCAGTTTAAGCCCTATGTGACGTTGCACCCCGTAATGCTTTATAGAAATATGCTTATTGGTATAAATATGATATAACTTGAATATGTTTTATGTAACATCTTTGCAAAGGTTATGAGCCACTGAATATATTCATCCTATTTGTATGCATGTATCATTTTGATATGTGAAGTTATGAGCGTTGGCTCTATGCTTGTATTTAAAGCGTTTGCTGTAGGAAGCACATAAAACAGATTTTGTCAACATAGTGTGAAGGGGTTATTCAAGTAATTGGGAGTACTTAACAGTGGACTTTGAGAGAGGCCAATCCACATCTGAGCTTTCCTGGGAATGCTCAAACTAACATGTAAACAATGGCGTCAGCCTGCAAAAAGCTGAATCATTCATAGACATGTGACTTGCCCAGGTGGCTAGAGACCCCCATCTTGTGGCTGTGACGTTGCACAAGAGAAAGACTATATAAGGCCCTGGAAGCCCCTGCATTTTGTCTTCAGCTGGCTCAAAAGATAACCTTTCCACCCCGAGAGATGCCTGAAAAAAAACCTGGAACAAAGGACAGTAACTACGGGGGTTAGGAAGAAGTCTAGTCTGTAAAAGAAGCTTATCGGTACATCTCTGAGGGTGAGATTTATCTGCATTTAGTTTCCTACTGTATTAGGCTTAGACTTGCGAGTTTTGTTTTATTTTGCTTGGTAACTTACTTTGTTCTGTCTGTTATTACGTGGAACCACTAAATCCCACTTTTTATATTTAATAAAATCACTTTTTACTTCTTAATTAACCCAGAGCAAGCAATTAATTCCTGGGGGAGCAAACAGCTGTGCATCTCTCGCTCTGTGTTATAGAGGGCGAGAAATTTGAGTTTTCCCTGTATAAGCTTTTTGCAGAGTAAAATGGATTTATTTGGGGTTTGGATCCCATTGGAAACTGGATATCTGGGTGTTAGACAGGAGCAATTCTTAAGCTATTTTCAGTTAAGCCTGCAGCTTTTGGGGGATGTGGTTCAGACCTGGGCCTGTGTTTGTAGCAGGCTAGTGTGTCTGGCTCAACAAGGCAGGGTACTGAAGTCCCAAGCTGGCAGGGAAAACGGGCTCAGAGGTAGTCCCAGCACATCAGTTGGCAGTCACAATGGCGTTTCTGTGACCCAACCTGTCACACCCTATATAGAATTTAAGTGATGAATAGGTCTTGTGCTGGCCCTCTGCACAGGGGTGAATTTCACCCTCTACATGCGTAAGTCTTCATCCTTTTATTAAAGCACCTGACTGCCCTCAGCAACTTGTGGTGCAACTGCATTAAAGTCATTGGGGTTGGACCAGATATGATGGCAAGGTTTCGCAATACATAGTAAAAGACCTAAAATAGAATGGATTTTCAAAATTAAGTGGGGTCTAATCTCATTCTTTTACAGTGTAATAGAATTCTGTTACTCCAATTCCTTTAGGGTTTCAACCTGCTAGACTTCCTGCTTTCAAAGAATGCAAAGATAGTATGTCAGATCTGTAGTTGGTCCCACTGGAGTTATGAAGGTTTATAGTAATTTACTAATCAATTTTAGCACATGCTTTATGAGAGAGGGGTGAATTGTTGTATTTTTGACAGTATATCAATGAAACAAACATTTGTTTTTATTGTTTTCTAGGATGTTGAATTAAGATGGTACTGCTAGTAAAAAGTGGTCAGTCTGGTTATAGATTCATATGTAGACTTGTCTGGTCTTTAAAGAAGGTGGTAGCAGTAGCAACTCATTTTGTTGGACTTTCTTTTTGACCTTTTAATAGAGTTATCTGTTTGTATTGGTTTACTGACTTATCTTTATTCTTCCATCCAAAACTATTTCAGAGTTGCCTAGAAGGAACAGAGTGGGGGTAAGGAGGAAGGAGTTTCACTAGCAGAATGAGAGAGGGTAAAGATGACCTACTGTTTGCTAGTGCCATTTGGTCAGATCAAAAGCCCTATGTGACAGGTTGTCTCCCCTGGGGTGCAGTCTGGGAGCTGTGGGAACTGCTGTGCCTCTCTAAGACACACAACTGTGTTGGGGACACAGCCAGCCTCGCCCAGGCCCTGTTATCACCCAACACGACAGCAGATGGTGCTACCCGAGTGCCAACAGCAGACACCAGACAATTTCTCAGATCCCCAGGCACATACCCCTCTTTAGGGTATGAACCCAAAATTATACCATCTTGCACTGGATACAGTGTAAACTCATTAATATGTCCACCCCTCTCTCAATGTGGAGAGGGATATGCACAGTATACTTCTGTTAAGCCAAGCTGAGATTTTCCCCAGACACTTCAGTCAAAGTCACATTGAGTTAGATTAAAACATATACAAGTTTATTAACTACAAAAGATAGATTTTAAGTGATTATAAAGTGATAGCAAACAGATCAAAGCAGATTAGTAAATAAACAAAACTGCAAACTAAGCCTTAGATACTTGAAAGATAGGATATGAATTAGCAGCTGATGTGGCTGTCCCCAGGGCTACCTGAGCAGCCCTTGGGTGGCCCTGGAGTCTGCCACACTGGCTGCTGTAGAAGTCACGGCAGTCGCAGAAAGACACGGAATCCTACTAATGGCCCATTACACTGAATGGGCCCGTCACAACCTGCTATTTAGATTGACACCCACTAGGCAAGATGCTTCCGATCAGGTGTGACTGCATGTGAAATGCAGATACATAGTCAATATTCATAACTTCAGATACAAAAATGTTACATGCATACAAATAGGATAATCATATTCAGAAACTTAATTGATCTTTAAATATTCATGGTAAATAGGCCTAATGGCCTGTGATGGGATGATAGATGGGGTGGGATCTGAGTTACCCAGGAAAGAATTTTCGGTAGTATCTGGCTGGTGAATCTTGCCCATATGCTCAGGGTTTAGCTGATTGTCGTATTTGTGGTCGGGAAGGAATTTTCCTCCAGGGCAGATTGGAAGAGGCCCTGGAGGTTTTTCGTCTTCCTCTGTAGCATGGGACACGGGTCACTTGCTGGAGGATTCTCTGCTCCTTGAAGTCTTTAAACCACAATTTGAGAACTTCAATAGCTCAGACATGGGTGAGAGGTTTTTCGCAGGAGTGGGTGGGTGAGATTCTGTGGTCTGCGTTGTTCAGGAGGTCGGACTAGATGATCATAATGGTCCCTTCTGACCTTAGTATCTATGAACTTTTCCATAGACACTTGACATGACATATCTTGTACAAAATGCATCATGATTATGCCATAATCGTATCAGAATAATATCACGATCAAGAATATGGGGTGCAGTGTCACATCCTAATTTGACAATCCCCAATAGAGGATGGGTTTCACCTTTCCAGTGGTCAGCTGCCCTCTGTCTAGGCTGCTATGACTGCATATCTTGCCATCTTAGCTCCTCCAGATACGTAGAGGTATAGGGAATTTTCTTTGCTGCTATATCAGGAACTAGCTGTAGAGTAGTCTTCAATGCAGTACAGACTAGAGCAGGTCAAAAAGTGTTTCATTTTTAGTGGAAATTTGAATATGAAAAATGACCAAACACCCCAAAATTCTGTTTTCATCTGAACTATTTCAATTTTGAGGTGTCCATAAAAAAAGGGAAGTTTTCTGCAAATAGATACTTTTCCCCACAAAATTTGTTTAATCAAAAACCAGTGTCAACAGAAAAATTTCAGCCAACTGTAATAGGCCCCAATGAGACACCAGTAAATCAGATGAAGGTTCAAAATGTTGGTGGGTGGGTTTTGTAGTCAAATTATTCTAAGACATTTGTTTCTGACATAGATAATCACTGACAAGCTTTGATGAAGAAGCACATTTTAAGGAGGGAGTGGAATGAGAGCAATGGTTATTTGGAATATTCCAGAGGTGTAAGGAGCACCATAAAAGAAAGATGGGCCTATGAGAAGGATACAAAGGGAACAATTAGGCAGGAGACATGGGTGGAGCAAGTGGCAGGGTAAAAATGGCAGCAAAAACATCCACAATCGCCACCCCGCCTTCTCCACCATGATCTAATCCTTGGCAACACTCATTATTGCTGCTGCTCCTCTGTGCCAGAATACACTAAACGCTTAGGGTGCCAGTAGCGTTCCAGTTACACCACAACTCAGAGGTGAGTGCTCTAGATGCTTCAGTAACTAGGTCTTTAGATTCTAGTCCTGGTGGATCCCAATAACCATTCAGATACAAGGATAAGCGAAAAGGTTATTTTGCTAGGGTTGGTAGGAAAGGGAAAGGTTAGGAACAGCCTAGATACAGAGGCTTAAACACTTACAGTTCACAGTGAGTGATAGCGGTAAATTGATAGCGGGCCCCTGGGGACACTCCAATCAAGAGTCAGGCTCTTTAGGGCTAGTGTCTGGAGTGCCCTCTCCAGTCCAGTCGCTATTCAAACTGGAGCTTGTGGGTTTCCAAGCCAGGCTCAGTTAATCTCTCTTTAGGGTCTCTGCACTGGCTCCCAGAACTCAATAGGTCTTGCAGCTTCCCCATAAGTCTGAACTGACTTGCAAGCCACTGTAACATCTGTCACTCAGAGCCTGTTCCACACATAGGTCTGCATCCCTTCCTGTTTGCAGCTTCTTTCCAGCCCCTGGCTTGCCATGCAGCTGCTGCTTCACCTTCCCTCCATCTCTTCACTTGCCATACAGCCACTGTCTGCAAACGGACCCTGGCCACTTCTTGGTTCAGGACCTTTCCCTTTATCAGGCCGGGGTAAGGGAAGTGCAGTGGGGAAGAGGCTGATGGGAGTTGTAGTCCCCCCTTTGCAAATCTATCACAATTCTGTCATCATGCCAATGCTTGAGTATTTTTGGAGTCAGCTTATTCCCCTGGATCAGTGTAGGGCCTTGCCATACTCTAGAAACAAAAATGCATTTTACTTATCTGTGGACTTTTACTAAAGAACAACTACATCTTTATACCAGTTGACACTTGTTGAGCCCAGATGCAAAAGGTGCATAAAGATCAAAGGCATGATTGCATCTGGTCCTGCATGAGTAGATAAAAGAGAGACTCCTTTGCACACCCATTTAGGGGCCAGGCACAGCGAGTTTCATGTGCCTTTCTGAGTGCAAAGACTTTAGAAACACTATTGGCAGCAGCAGCAATAGCCTCTGAGAGCGTGGAGAAGGGTCTGGTCATGGTCTTGCCCTCCAACACTCTGACAGAGGTGACCAGGTGCAGAGAGGAGTACATGCTGCAGCTTCAAGATAGCTCCAGCTTACACTATCGAAGATTTGTGCCTGAATTGTGGGGAGCTAAGGGGGGAGCAGCAGAGTGTGGTAACTTAAAAAGCAAAAAAATAAGCCATGGCCTTTAGTATTGCCTAGACTTTGCAAGAGGCCATGGGGAAGTTTCCATCACTCTCACCTGCATGAACACACTCTAGATTGGCATGCTGCTCACCCAACACACTTGTCCAAAGAACTGCAACAATTGTTCACAACCTTTGTTTTTAGTCTTTCCTATGGACCTCATCCCCGTACTACCTGGGCCCCTCATGAATATTAAAGAATTAATCCTTTAACCCCTTGGAAGTAGGGAAAATTATCCCCATTTTACAGACTGGCAATTGAGGCACTGCAGGATAAAGTGACTTGCCCAAAGTTACAAAGGAAGTTTGTGGCAGAGCTGGAAAGAGAACCCAGATGATTCTGCGTCAGTCTGATGCCGTAATCATGAAACCATCCTTCCTCAAGGGGTACATCTATGTGGGGATAAAAACCCATGGCTGGCCTCGGTCAGCGGACTCAGGTTCATGGGGGCTCAGGCTCTGG